TAAATTCACTATTTTTATAAAAATTTTAATAGAATTTTTCTAAAAATTAGTCATTCATTTTTTTCTCAATATATTTAACTTGATAAATTTATTATTTATTAATTAACTATAGTAGTTATATATTTTATAATAAATATATTTATACCATTTTACAAAATTTTACTATTACTAATAGAAATTATACTCTAAAAAAGAAAAATAATCAATTATTAAAATGAATATAAATATAAGAGATAACAAAAAGAAAAAATATACAGTCAAATAATAAAAATATACTATACATATAAAGATAAGATTTTTAATTTTGTATATATATAAATTATATGGTTTAGTTCGATTTATACGATTTGTCCAAATATCAAATTCAAACCAAATCACACTCTATGATTTAGTTCAGTTTATGCTATCTAATCGGTTTGGTTCGATTTGTTGAACACTTCTAGTTGTGCATTCCTTCAATGGTAAAAAACTTGGATTTAGATGCTCTCTATATTGTATGGAAATGAACAAATTAATTCTTTTAGGAAGAAAATGAATAGATTCTTTAATCAATTTGGTCACTTCGTTTTCTAAATAATGAGAGAAGAGACCGCAGAAGGAACCTTACCTTGAATAAAGATTTTTGTCACGACTTTAATTGATTACACGATAAAACTTATAAAATCAAAGATTGCCATGATTTTTCGAAGGAATCTGAAAGGGCTGCTTGGTTGATACGAGTTTCATCAAACTCCTTTGTCAGTTTTTTTTTTTTTTTAGTCTCACAAATATTTTTATCCATTATATAATTTATGTTAATTTTATTCAATTTATTGTAGTTATCTTTCTCAAAAAATAAATTTTTTATAAATTCGAATTTAATTCTTTTTATAACTTATTACTTTTGTTACACTCAATGAGTACACTTTTTTTAGTGTCTGACGAGCCATTAAATTTTTTTTGAATTTAAAATTACTTATTTATTTATTCTATGAAATTATTTTTTAAAATAATCAAAAATTTACACATTTTAATATAATAAATAATTATTTATTAAATATTAATTTATCAACATCTACTATTTTTTAATAAAATTTGTAAATACCTCTAATTTTTTATACTTTTAATACTTTTATATAAATAATAACTCGCGTGAACAAGTCAATAAAAAAACAAAGACAGTGCAGTAATGATTCAACAGAGTGGCCTCCCGGAGCACACAAATTCTTTTGAACCTATCTCTTTATAAATTTCTTTAAAAAATTATATTTACATACGAACAAGCAAGAATTTGCAAATAAATAATTTTTTAATATATGTCTTATTTTATTTTTGAATAAAAAAAGTAAATAATCGATAAATTCCTTTAGTATCATTTCTTTAAATAGAAGAAAAGCGGGGCAAATTTATATTAATAATAACAAATTTTTTTACTTAAATAAATTTTAATTAATTATTTACTAAAATTAGTGAAAAATTTTGGTGTTAGGGTTCAATTTCTCAACGGTCAAACAGTTTCCATCCCACGGGAACTCTGCACAAGGCTCCAGCGCTCCCGCCAGGCAGACCGGATCAAGTTTTGGGCGGGTTTGAAGGGTCATATTGCAGCAATGGAGAAAGATTTTCGTTCCTGGGAGCTTGGTCGAGATCTTAATTCTGACAACTATGAGTTTGCTTCATTCCCTTGCGAATGAATTTGATTTTCAAAGTTGGTCAAGGTTTGCATGTCACCGGACAGGAGCTTCAGCGCTCCCTCCAGGTGCCTGGGATTTGATTTATCAATATTAAAATTTTTAATTTATTTTAGTAAATTTTTATTTTGATAAAAACTACTATCATTAATATAAATTTTCCGGAAAAGTGAGCACATATTTTTAATTTTTTAATTGTTCTTTTTGTTTTAATTTGGGAAGCGACGTGATGCATGACAGAGTTTTTTATTGATGGAACGTCTCGTTATGAGTGTTTATTTTCATTCATTTCAGTTTGTTTAGAGTTGATTTAGTTTAATTTTTGACATTATTTAAACTGAATCGGACATGTTAGTTTTATATTCTCTTAGATAAGATTAAATTTTTTGTACAAAAAATTGAACCAAATGAGACATGATTAATGTCGGTGTGGTTCAGTTAACTGATCGATTTTGTTTTTTTTAAACAAAAAAAGTAAATATTTTTTTTAAAAAAAATAAAAGAGAATAAAATCAAATATAAAAATTAGTTTTGTATCAAATTTGTATTTTTTAAGAAAAAATTTGAAATTAAATATAAATTAATAGATCTATATAAAAAATAGTAAAAAATTATATATATTAAATAAGAAAACTAAAATGAATCAGTTCGGTTTGATTATTTTAAAAATAAAATTAAAAATTAAACTGATCAATTGGACAATTTCTTAAATTAAATTAAACTAATTTTTTTAATTTTTAATCAATTTAAATCAATTCAGTCAATTTAATTTGATTTCAAACGCCGTTGCGACTCTGCGGTGTCATGGCAGCGGCAAGTCAACATACAAGCCTTCGTGCAATGTGTACTTAGATTTGGACCTTTTACCTCTGTTGCCATTCACGAAATGGTGCTTTCACGAGCCCCTCCACTTCAGTCTCCTTTTAATTTATTTATTAAAATTTTATTATTTTATTTATATTATACAATTACACAAATGCCCCAGTGCATGATCGGCAGGACACGTCGTGGCTCCGCTCTTGATGCTGGCTGTAGCCATCACGGGTGGCTCTATCTATTCTTTCGCGCCCAGTAATTAATTTTTTACGTAAAATATTTAATTATTAAATAAGAGTATCAATTGGTTTTCATTATTTTAATTTGCATTATTAAATCATGTTAAATTATTAAAAGGTTATTTAGTAATGTTAAACATCATTGACAATCTCTCAGTGAGGCGCACTTGTCCATCAGTCATAGTCAGGACAGTAATTAAATTCTATTTGAACAACTCATCTAACCAAAGATCTATATAAAACTTCTTAAGTCAAACCAACTTGACCTAATGTATTTTTTAAATTAATTTGATAATTAAATAATTAAATAATTTTTACAATTCTAAATGATACTTATTTCGTGTTTCAAATTAAGATATTAAATTTTCTAAGCCGATTATTTTACATTTTCCTTTGCATTTTGAAGGAGAATTTAGGTTGAGACATGACTTCTGCCTCCCCCACGTGGGATCTGCCCCACTCTTGAAACAAATAAATAAATAAATATATTACTAAACTAAATACTAGATTTATTAGTGATCCAAGATGGAATAACATGGGCTATTTTAAAAGCTAAAACGAATAGTTGGACGGAATACAAAGGCTCTACAATATAATACGTGTCAATCATGCTCCAAGTGGGCCCATCCTAAACCGTCCAGTGTAAGGACACGTAGCATGGCTTAGTGTTTAATCATGGTCAATTATTTTTCTTTCTACCAATAAAAATTTCATTCACGGACCTTTCTAGAAATTAATAGAAAGCTTGTCCCCTAAACTTATCATTTATTTTGAAATTAAAGAGCATTATTCTCACTTTGTAATTACCCAGTTGCCCTTGTCTCCTAAAGAATTTACTTTTATACTTCTTATATTCTAGACTTTTCTAAATTTCCAATAAGAAAACATATCGATATGCTATTAATATTTTCACCTATTTGAATATTTAGAAAGTTCTGAAAACAGAAAGAAATTTCTTATTCTTTTCCCATCTACCTCAGCATTTTATCTGGAGGATTTTTCTCAAAGATGAAATCATTGTCATTTATTTTAAAAATTTGCAGATTAATTAATACGCGTGGAAATGAAAGTTGACGGTTCCTTTTACGTCTTCCCTTCTCAAATCTAAGAATTGGACTATTAACAAATTGAAAATTTACTTAATTTAATAAATTTGGTTGTTTATGCATTTGAACCATTATTTTTATGTAATAGTGTTGTTGGCTTAAAATTTATAATAATATATTTCTTACATATAAGTATGAATATGGTAAACTATATAAAATATTACATATAATTAATGAAATTAGCATAAATATGATTTTTATTGATAATGCGAGGAGCTTAAAGTGTTAGAGATAGAAAAAATGCACTAATTAAGATTCCAATTCCTGATGATCAAGATATTTGATATTTAAAATTAAATGAGATATTATGAGACTAATAGACCATCGGCAAATGTGAAAATTTTCTTATCATTAGCTGAAAAAGGAAAAAGTATGCACAGACAAAAAAAAAGGTAATTTTTTTGCTCTAAGATATAAAATATGATAATTTTCTTACTTTACTTGATAAAATTTGAGTTTTAACAGATAGTTTTTATTTTCACAAAGACAATGGAGACAAAAAAAAAAAAAATACGACCCGAACTTTGCCGTCGATAATTTTTTAAAAGATAAAAGTGTATAAAAAATACTAATAGCAAATTTATGAAGTAAATACGCCACCGTAATTTCCAATTTGCCTTAATAAAAAACAGTAATCCCCCGTAAAAGCAAAAATTGGTTACATGATTGCCAAGTTGCTTTACCGTGCAAGCCTCTCAAGCATAGCCCGAGAATATTCCTTGCATGAAATTCACAAAGTTCACGGAATAAACCCCAAAAAAAAAAAACTCCTTACCAGCAGTCACACTCGCACCACCATAAGAATCAACTGCACTCTCTATTTCTTTTGTACATTTGTTTCCCATTCATAAAATCACAAGTGGCATATGTGTGAAGCGAGTGCGAGCTTATATCTTACGTTCGAGCGTTCAGCCACAATCGCACAGCTCCTTCGACCTAGGACCATCCGCGAAAATACTTTCACTGTTTTGAAAATCAGGAAATAATTATACATTTGCCGTTTAAAAAAGTCCCACTCTATATATCAGCGTTCGGTCCCTCTCTTTAATTTCGGAGTCTCTCTCTCTCTCTCTCTCTCTCTCTCTCTCTCTCTCTCTACATTGGTTCAGTTACTGTCCTTATCGCGTCGCCAAAATTCTAACCTCTGCAGGTACCTTTCTCTCTCGGCGATGGCGGGAAATGACTGGATAAACAGTTATTTAGAGGCGATACTGGACGTTGGGCCTGGAATCGACGATGCCAAATCTTCGCTGTTGCTCAGGGAGAGAGGGAGGTTCAGTCCCACTCGCTACTTCGTCGAGCAGGTCATCACCGGCTTCGATGAAACCGATCTCCACCGCTCCTGGGTTAAAGTGCGTATCATTTCTCGCTGTGGCTCTATCTATATCTATGTGTTTAATCGTTGTGTGCAATTGATGATTGCTGATTGTTGGTGGCGGCAGGCTGCGGCGACGCGGAGCCCGCAGGAAAGGAACACGAGGCTGGAGAACATGTGCTGGCGGATTTGGAATTTGGCTCGCCAGAAGAAGCAGGTTTTTTTTTTAATTCCTGAATGCGTGTAGTTGTTATGTGTAAATGTATATATGTGTGCACGGATTTGTTATTGTTACTTAGAATGATGTTGTGTGCTGGATCTAAAGATCGGGGCTTGATTCTTCGCGGATATTAAGTGTTGTTTGTTAATGAGTTTAGTTTGGTCATTTGACTCTTATCAATCCGTTAGACGATTGAGGCTTGCTCGGGAATTTGAAACAGTATCTATTGTGGTAAAGAACAGCTTGTGCATTATAATACAGAAGAAAATTCTTCAGCTCGAGGTCAATTCATTTGATCTTGAGCTGTGTTATCTTGTTATGTTTTTAAAATTCTCTATTTGGAATTGTTTGCTAACATTCAATAACAACAGTATTAAGGTTTTTTTTTTTTTAGTATGCATTTATATTTTTTAATGCTTGGCCAATGCTCCATTTGATATTCCACTAGATATTATGCAGAGTTAATTCTCGCAAAAAGATACATGACTCCATTTCATTGCTTTGCTTCAACTGTTGTTACTAATTCTATTGGAAAGTCAATTTCTATCTTCTAATCTTGGAGGCCTGTAAACTTATATTTACACATTTTTTCCCTTCATTATGCATAGCATTCTGCTTTTTGGATTGTATAAATCTTCTTCAAATGTTGGAACAATTGGTTCACTGGTATCGTTATCTTCAAGATTTATTTTATTGTTTATGTAGCTTGAGGGAGAGGAAGCTCAAAGGATGACTAAACGTCGTATTGAACGTGAAAGAGGCCGAAGAGAAGCCACTGCTGACATGTCAGAAGACTTGTCTGAGGGAGAAAAAGGTGATACAGTTAGTGATTTGTCAGCTCATGGTGAAAGCAACAGGGGCCGATTGCCTAGAATTAACTCTGTTGAGACTATGGAGGCATGGGCTAGTCAACAGAAGGATAAAAAGCTGTACATTGTTTTAGTAAGGCATGAACTTATCCGTAAGCCTTTTGTATGGAAATATTATAATGAGGAGCTCTCTGAACTGCTACTTGGTACTATAATTTAGATATCTGCGACAAAAATATTTTTGTTGATTTACTTTGTTTTATATATATGTAAATTAAATTCTTTTGGCAATAAACAAGAAGAAGTGACGTAGATAATGAGATATAAACATGTCCTGCGGCAAATTAGTGTTTGCAAGGTAACATATCCAATATCTGTGTCCGTAATTGGCAAGGTCAGGGTGGAGTGCAATAGTAATGTGCTATTTTTTCTCTGTAAAACCCTTTTGGAATACCAATCCATATGTTCTCACTTCACAATTATTTATTATTGGGTTTGGCAAATTTAGGTTTCTTGAAGTTCTTGGGATTACTTGTCAGTGGTAATTAATATTCCGCAATTCTTATGTTGTTTGTAAGAGATTTCAATGTGATTTCTCTCTCTCTCTCTCTCTCTCTCTCTCTCTCTCTCTCTCTCTCTCTCTCTATAATTGTTGCATTTATGATATGTTTGAAATAATGGAAACTGCTAATGTAATCCACACAACAGTTTAATATCCATATTAAATGATACCTATGGTAAAGTGCATTTATGATGATATTATAGATTCTGATTTCTAGCTTAAACAGAAGGAAATAAATAATACATTAGGTCATGAAGTTATCATAAAAAATTTATATAGATTCATCAATTGAAAGTTCATAACATGCAAGTTATGCTTATGATATTACATAAAATCTAAACATGAAGATACAATACCATACAAACAAAAAATAAATATGGAAAAAAAATATCTATCAATGGAATTCTAAAAGAAACAAATGTAGAGTAAATTGATTCATGCCTAAGTTATCTAATATAAGATCTGAGAATGAGATCACAACGAATGAAATACGGAAACTAACCTGGTAAAAGGGTGAGTGAAGAAATGATTAAACCTTGAAAGTAAAAGGAGAAATCATGTCAAACTAATGTTGGTGGTGGTCTCATTGGTACCCTTAGCTTCTGGCTTGCATGTTTGGCTATTAATTGCAGATAGTCACAAACCCCACAAGCCTGGATTTTGTATCATTTTGACCTGACACCCCTAAGTTTTGGAGTTGGATAGCTGTTGTCATGTTAAAAGAAAAAATGAAGAAAGTAATAGAGCATTGAGTATCTCTGCAAAATAGGGCTTGTCCTTTATTATCATTATTGGTTGATATTATTGGGAATAATGGCTCATATGCGTGTGAATTTTTTGTTTCATGGATATGGTGAACTATTATGAGTTTGGAACGCTTTGAAACCATGATGTTAATGCATTCGTGCATGACAGAAATTGTTGCTTAATTTTGCTCGTTTATTGTGTAAAGGATATAATTTCTCTCATGTGCTTGTTTTCCTGAAATTATTCCTAATGGCTAGTGTTCTTGCAGCCTTCATGGTCTAATAAGGGGTGAAAATATGGAACTTGGGCGTGATTCTGACACTGGTGGCCAGGTATATTTTGGTTCTAGAAAGTTTAGATTTAATGTCCTGATCAATTAAATCTGCAAGTGAATAAAGTATTGTCGTTTATGGTTGCAAGGGGGGACTAATAAATACTTTTTAATTCCTTTCTACTAAATTTTAGGTAAAGTATGTTGTGGAGCTAGCAAGGGCATTAGGTTCGATGCCAGGAGTGTATCGGTTGATTTACTCACTAGACAAGTATCATCACCGGATGTAGATTGGAGTTATGGTGAGCCCACTGAGATGTTACCTCCAAGAAACTCTGATGGTTTCATGAATGAGATGGGGGAGAGTGGCGGTGCTTATATTATTCGTATTCCGTTTGGTCCCAGAGATAAATATATCCCCAAAGAACTTCTGTGGCCTCACATCCCTGAATTTGTTGATGGGGCTCTTAACCACATCATACAGATGTCAAAGGTACTTGGAGAGCAAATTGGTGGTGGGCATCCGGTATGGCCTGTTGCCATCCATGGGCATTATGCAGATGCAGGTGATGCAGCTGCTCTTCTATCAGGTGCGCTGAATGTACCCATGCTCTTCACTGGTCACTCACTTGGTAGAGACAAGCTGGAACAGCTTTTGAGACAAGGCCGGCTATCAAGGGATGAAATAAACACTACTTACAAAATAATGCGTCGTATAGAGGCTGAGGAGTTGTCACTTGATGCCTCTGAAATAGTCATAACAAGCACTAGACAGGAGATAGAGGAGCAATGGCGCTTATATGATGGTTTTGATCCGGTGCTGGAACGTAAATTACGAGCAAGGATCAGGCGTAATGTGAGCTGTTATGGCAGGTTCATGCCTCGGATGGCTGTAAGTATTGGGATATCATTCCTAGTTTATTATGATTATGTTCCTCTTTTGATAGATTTTATATTGCATTGACAAATCTTGCTCACCAATAATTAATACTGTCATTTTTAGTTATTCAGCTTGGAGATTTTAAGAAATAAATGCATTATACATGTTTGTAAACAAAATATGAAAAATGAATTTCACAGTGTCTAATCCTAATTGAAGAAATAAAACTCTGAATAATATATAGAAATTATTTTTTTCCTACAAAGGGAGCTGTTGAATCCATGCCTCTTTTACCCTCTTCTATACCTATTTGGCCTTCTGGTTTGTTCACAATGAGAAAGAGAGGATGTTGAGGAAAGGTATGGGGTTTGAGTTTTCATTCTCCCTAAGAAAATGAAATTAATGTTTTGTTGACTTCTTGCGTCCAAAATTCCAAAATTTTTTATTGGTTCACAATCTCGTCCAAAAGAACAAAATTTTTTATGAATGGAGATGCTGAATTTGCTGGAGTGCAGAGTGATAAATATTATCATGTACTAAGTGGAGCTTTTTTCCCCCAGTTGGGTCCACTATATTTGATTCTTTCAGGACTTGATCAAACATCTTATGACAAGCTTGGCTGTTAAATTTAAGTTCATGTGGGCATATATTGCTGTCTGGTTGACACTCTCTCCCTCCAATCTTGATCCAAAGTTTTTGCCTAATTTTCATCTCTATCCTTGTTACCATGCCATCTTTTGCTGGGTTATTCTTGTAACGATCTTGTTAGAAGGGGTACAATTTGTAATATACCATCTTTCCGCAGGTAATTCCACCCGGGATGGAATTTCATCACATTGTTCCACATGAGGGTGATATGGACGGCGAAACTGAAGGGAGTGAAGATCAGCCGACTTCTCCAGACCCACCAATTTGGTTCGAGGTTCCAATAATTTCAGATTTATTTGATTTAATGTTTTCCTAGTTTTATTACTAATTTGCAACTGTGGTTTTTTCCATGTAAGAGTTTTTCAGTTGATTTCTCAAACCCTCAAATTTATTATGATTTGAACATCTATTTTATGTAATAATATGCAGATAATGCGGTTTTTTAGTAATCCACGCAAGCCTATGATACTTGCCTTAGCTAGGCCAGACCCCAAAAAGAATCTTACGACTTTGGTAAAAGCATTTGGCGAATGCCGTCCGCTGAGAGAGCTGGCTAATCTGGTATATTAGGATATTTCTAAGCCCATAAAATTTCTTGTTCAATAAGCAATTGGCTGTTAAAGCTGCCAAATTTGCTTTTTAACTTTTGAGCCCCTGTATTTTGCAGACATTGATAATGGGTAACCGGGATGATGTTGATGAAATGTCAGGCACTAATGCTTCTGTCCTTCTCTCAATACTCAAGCTTATTGATAAGTATGATCTCTACGGTCAAGTGGCATATCCTAAACACCACAAGCAGTCTGATGTTCCTGACATTTACCGTCTAGCAGCAAAGACAAAGGTGCTATTTGTACTGGTTGTATGTTGTTGCTGGCTAAACATTTTAGTTGTGATATACTGATATTCACAGAGTCATTACACACATCTATTCCTTGTGTGGTACACTAGAACACCAGTTCATGCAAGTTCGCAATGCTTGCATCCATTAAACAGATATATTGTATCAGTTATAGCTATTAATTTTTCCAGGAGTTATCAAGTGGCTACTCATTTTCATTACCATTCATCATATACAGTGTGCTGTTTGATTTTCTGATGGCATCCTTGGATAACCATAACATTTTTGTAGTTGAATATCGTCCTGGGAAAAATTAATCATTGACTTCCTGAATGTCAATATTTTGAGCTTTTACTTTAACCCCTTCAATATTTTGTGTACAGCCCTCTGAAAAACTTTTTTTATGACTTTTATGACTAAGCTCGAGTATTTTCGACATTTTTTTCTTTTCTAGTTTAGGTAAGTCATTAATCATGAACAGATCTAGATTTTTATTTTAAAGTGTGTGAAACCCTTGAAAAGGAATGAGGAACCTCGTTTCTTAATTTTTTATGAGGGATTAGTTGAGGTACTTGGATTTTTTTTTCTTTTTACAAGGAGTTGAGTCAACAAAAAGGCTAAGGAGGCTGATCTTTGTAGGTGGAGGCAGTCTAATAGATTTTGTTTATGTAGGTTGATCTAAGGTAATTTTTATTGGACTAAAATATTGCAATAAACTGATGCACTGGAGTTTCTTTGGAATATAGCATCTCTTTCTCCTTGTCCTCTCACATACATACACAAACGTGCTACACTCTCTCATAGACTAACATCATATCTCATTCTGGTATCATATTTTGGCAGGGTGTCTTCATTAATCCAGCTTTTATTGAGCCATTTGGGCTTACTCTAATTGAGGTAAACTTTGTACCTACAAGTCCTTTCCCTTTACTGGTACTGGACTATGAACTGGTATATATTCTTGATCAAACAGGCTGCAGCTCATGGTTTACCAATTGTTGCCACAAAAAATGGAGGCCCTGTTGACATACATCGGGTATTCACTTTCATTTAGTTGACTTAAAGGATTTATGCTCTAACAATGATGGGTAAAATTATTTTAGTCTGACTTATTTGATATGTGATGCAGGTGCTTGACAATGGTCTCCTTGTTGATCCCCATGATCAACAGTCTATTGCTGGTGCTCTTTTAAAGCTGGTTGCAGATAAGCAGCTTTGGGCAAAGTGCCGGCAGAATGGGCTGAAAAATATTCACCTTTTCTCATGGCCAGAACATTGTAGAACATACCTAACCCGAATAGCCAGTTGCAAACCAAGGCAGCCTGGGTGGCAGAGAAGTGATGATGGGGATGATAATTCAGAATCAGATTCACCAAGTGATTCTTTGAGAGACATACAGGATATATCTTTGAATTAAAGTTTTCACTGGATGGAGAAAGGAATGAAAGCAGTGGGTATACTGATAGTTCTTTGGACTCTGAAGATCGCAAGAGTAAGTTGGAGAATGCTGTTTTGGCATGGTCCAAGGGTGTCCTGAAGGGCACTCAAAAAGTTGGGCATACAGAGAAAGGAGACCAGAATAGCAATGCTGGTAAGTTCCCCACGTTAAGGAGGAGGAAGCATATTATTGTCATTGCTTTGGATTCTGATTCTATATCAGACATCTTTGAGAGTGCTGGAAAAATATTTGATGCCATGGAAAAGGAAAGGAGTGAAGGCTCTGTAGGGTTTATATTGGCAACATCGTTTACTTTGTCAGAAATACAAGCTTTCCTTGTCTCAAGTGGGATAAGCCCTACTGATTTTGATGCTTTTATTTGCAATAGCGGTGGTGACCTCTACTATTCATCTCCTACTTCAGAGGAGAACCCCTTTGTTGTTGACTTGTATTATCACTCTCATATTGAATACCGTTGGGGCGGGGAAGGGTTGAGGAAGACTTTGGTTCGTTGGGCAGGATCTCTTGTTGATAGGAAGAGTGAAAAGGAGGAGCAGATTGTTACTGAAGATGAGAAGATATCTACAAATTACTGTTATGCCTTTAAAGTGCGAAATCCAGGGAAGGTAAATTTACTTAGTTTCCACTTGGCTAATCTTGGTTACAATCCTGCTCATCCCTCCTGTTTACAAAATGATTCATATTCTCTCCCTTGGCTTATGGGTAATGAGCTGGGCCATAGTTGGATATACATGTCTGCTCTGTTCAGTGAGGCCCCTGGGTTCTTGCTTTGCAACCTCTGATCTTTTTCATCTAATTATTGTTTGTCTTCACAGGTTACTCCTGTTAAGGAAATCCGGAAGTTAATGCGAATTCAGGCTCTTCGTTGCCATATTATTTATTGTCAAAATGGGAATAAGATTAATGTGATTCCAGTACTGGCTTCTCGCTCTCAAGCCCTAAGGTATAGTTTTAAGTTGCATTTATGCTGCTAGCGTAAGATTCTTTTTCTGTTATGTCACGGGGATTCTAGTTGATATTTTACTATTATGCAATAACCTCCCCCTCCCCCCCCCCCTCCCCCAAAAAAAAAAAAAAATGTAATCATTATGACATCGTATTGGTTATGGTGATAAGTTGACAGTACCATTTGCAAGCTTCAGTGTTCTATAATCAAATTCAAGAATAATTTCACCTGAAAGTAACATGTTCTACTGCAAGAACCTTGACTTCAATTTCTGAGAATTAGTGGATGTGTTTTTTCCTTTTTTGTCAGAATCTGCATGTGTTAGTTCGAGTTGAACTTGCAAAATTGATGTTTTTCTTCTTATGTCTTGCTTCTAACCCTAAAAGTCTCTGATGTGTGCCAATTAGGCAGAAAAGAGAAAGAAATGAAAAAAAAAAAAATTTGTCTTCTTGAAATGTTTCCCAGGCACTTATTTTGATTACTAGATACATCTTGATCTTCTATGAAATTTTATGAGAGAACCGCTTCTATACAGGTATCTCTATCTCCGATGGGGCATGGACTTGTCAAAAGTGGTGGTTTTTGTTGGTGAAAGTGGGGACACTGATTATGAAGGGCTGCTCGGCGGCGTACACAAGTCTGTAATACTGAAGGGTGTTAGTACTGGAAGCAGTCAACTTCATGCCAATAGAAGCTACCCCCTCTCTGACGTTCTCTCCCTGGATAGCCCCACCGTTGCCCCTGTAACTGAAGAATGCAGTAGTGATGATGTCCGGGCGGCACTGGAGAAGCTTGGGCTCCTCAAGTGCTAAAAATTCTTTCTGGAGTTTGTCACTTGAGCTTTTTGCTGCCTTATAAGACTGAAGAACCTTGTCTTGTAAAGCTGGTTTTGGTTTCTCCACCTGTGATCTTGAATGCAGTCTATTTTTTTGTTTCTTGGGTTTAGAAAATTAACGCATTTGTTGCTTCTGTGGGTGAAGAAGCCAACTTGACCTGTATAGCTTTTACGAGGTTTTCTGGAGTCCAAGGGGTCCCTTGGTTATACCGAATGAAGTAAAATCATGAATAAATATGTGGAGATTAGAGCTTCTTCCTCCCGGGGGGAAAAACAAAAACCCTTGTTTTTCGTGATGTCTAGAAACAAAAGAGAAAAAATCAGTATAAAGTTCACAAGTATAATTCCGTCTTGCTCTAACAGCCTTGATATTCTAAAATGTCACAAGCAGGTTCGCTGACTCTCCTTTCCTCCTCATCCTCCTTTTTTGATCAGAAGGGGTGCATCTGATGAAGTACAGAATTAATCCATCTTTCTCGTAATACCTCAAATATTAATTGATTTGAATTTAGGTTCTTCGAACGTTTTTCCTGGTTTCCTACTCTACCAATGTCATGACCCGAACTTAGCAATTTGTATTAGTTCAGGGACTAAGTTATAGAAATTAAAACGTCTTGGGGCTGGAGTGAAAATACTCAGGGATTGATCTGTGTTTAGCATGAAGTCCAGGGACTGATCTGCAAAATTTTCGGAAGTCTGACAGGAACTGCGTTCCAATGATTCCTCCGCCGGATTTGCAGGTTTTGGGGCAATGATGTTTGCGTGTTTTTGCTTCTGGGCGTTGGTATTTGAAGCTTTGGTTGAACCCCTCACTCAATCGTTGAAGACGAGCGAAGAGGAGAGGGGATTCTTCAAGCTTTTGCCGACGGAGAACACGGAGGGAGGCCGAGCTTTTTGGGCAGCTTTTCGGGCGTTGAAGGCTGCTAGTTAGCTCGCCGGGGCTCGTGCAGCTTTCAGGGTGGTCGGCGGACTGAGGGAAGCCCTCTTCCTAGTTGCTTTCCTGGTTTTTCCGGGGTGTCGGGGGTGTTACAGGCACCCGGGTCAGAGACTCGGGTTGCCGGGTGAGAGAGACGGACCCGAAAGGGTCCGGGTTCGGGTCTGTGTGTTGGGCCAGCCCAGTGGGCTAGGCGGCCCGCGGGCTTGAACAGCGGGCCAAGCAAAAAAAAAAAAAAAGAAGGAAAAGAGTTTGGGCCGGCCCAGGCGGGCCCGAGCCGACCTAAAAAAAAAAAAAAAAGGGTTTTGACTGAACCGGCCAGAGGGTTGACCGGCCGGTTCAGTGGCCAAATCAACTTGGAATTTGGTTTTTTGACTGGTTCTGGATTTGGGGGGATGAAACCTATCAAACCAAGTGGGTTCGGGAAATTTTGGGTGACCGGTTTGAGGTGAATTGACCTCGTTTTACGTGCTGATGATTAGGGTTTGAGTTCTTGGACAGTTCATATTGGTTCCTAGGGTTTTTGGGGCCTCTGAATCCATTTTCGAGGGTTTCGTGCCCGTTTGAGTTGAGCTTGAGGTAGTTTTAGGCTAGCTAGGCCGGTTTGGGGGTCTTTAGAGGCTGGTTCGCTGTGTTTGGCAGACTGTGGAGAGTAGTTCTGTTTTGATTGAGGGTTTTGAGCTGGTTTATTGTGTGTTGAGAGTCACGTAGATTTCGGTGGCCAGTCTCGATGTCTCGAGACGCGTGCCAGAGTGTCGATTTTGGTTTTGAGCCGGTTTGAGGCTACGGGGCCTGTTTCTTGTACCGAGTTTGAGGTTGGTTATGTTTCTGTGTGGTTTTGTTTTTCAGATACGTCTCAGGAGGTACACCCGGATCGGCGAGACGGGTGAGGGTGATTGGGACTTCTTTCTTGACTCGATTTTTATACTGTGAGTGACGATACCTTTTCTATACTTGTGTTTTCATACTGTTTTATTGGCATGATGATTATGTGACTTCTTAACTGTATCTGGACTGTGTATGTGTCCTTGTGTACTATCAGTGAGCTGTATTGATATGTTGTTATGAGATTTGGAATATGAACCGTATGTGCTTTTGTATACCTGTTTGTGACCGATGTGTGATGATGGTACCACGTGATGTGATTTGGACGGAAGGAGCTCGGCTGGACGTACGGTGACCCGTAGTGTCCAGTGGTGAGTCGGCCTGAGTCCTTGTTGAGGCAACAGGGGCTGCGAGTATGATGTGCTTATTGATGACGTGTCTGGGATGGCAGGCTTAGCTGACGGACGGTGGGCCGTAGCGTATGGGGAGTGCCTTGGTTTCCGTGTCAGGACGATTTTTGGGATACCAAGGACTCACCCGGCGTGCGGTGTGCTGCCGTAGCGTGCAGGGAGTATTCTGGCCCAGTGGATGTGATGTAATGGGTTGGTTACAGTGATACTTTGCATGTTTATTTACATATTACTGCTCACTGGGATTACTTGTGTATATGTGATATTTGTTTGAGACACGTTGCATACTCTAGCATATATAGTCTAGGTATCGTCTGTACTCACTAAGTCTCGCGACTTACAGTTTTAATTTTTCAGATCTGACTTGCTGTTCCTGTCTCGGTTAGCGCACCAGAGTTGGAGTTAGGCAGTGGCAACTTTATCGATGTATGGGCATATTTCCTTTTGTATTAATTCCTTGTATTTTAGAGTAGCTCTTTTGAACTCTCAGACAGATCTTGGTATTCGTGTATGAGGACAGCGCACCGTGGTTTATATAGTATTGAGTTGTTATATTAGTTGTTTCGAGGCTTACTAGGGCTAGTGGACCCTAGTGCCGATCACGTGCCCGGGTCGGGGCGTGACAGAGTGGTATCAGAGCTATAGGTTTTCTGAGAGTAATAGAGAGCGGGGTTCTTCGGTAGTGCTTTTATTATGAGGGTGAGGGCCCCACTTTCATAATAGAAGGACCGCCGAAGACCTTTTAGGGTGTGTTTGATATTGGCTTTTCAATTCCTTTATGTGCCCGAATCCTTGATAATCTCTCTAATCCTCGTCTGTTGTGTGTAGATGGACTCGCTGAGGGACGTACCTGTGGTGATGGACGGGATGCCCATGGATTCTCGCGAGGCTACTGATGCCGGGGTTTCGAGGGAGGCCGCAGGTGGGTCGGCCCCACCCCCGATTAGTGGGAGAGGACGAGGGAGAGGTCGTAGGAGGATTGTTAGACAGGCTTGAGATTCAGCTACGGGACCGAGTGTGACAGTTCCAGCAGACTTATTGACTGGACTCGTGGCTGAGGTTTGGGAGTTGCGGAGAGCAGTAGCAGATATTGCTGGGGGTAGTACGGGTGAGAGAAGGCAGCAGATATCAGGCGGAGGACAGCCGAGTACTACGACTGCCCCAAGGAGAGTAGTGCCAGAGGAGCCAGCTCCAGTTAGTACACCAGTAGGGACCCTGACCGTATCCGCGACCACAGCCCCAGTAGTGCAGCAGACAGGGTTTGACGGTTATTTCAGAGACTTCCTTAAGATGGATCCTCCCACCTTTACAGGAGTCGGGACACAGGAGGACCTGCATGAGTTCTTGCATTAGTTGGACGATTTGTTTTAGATTTTGCAGTGTACCGAGGCGAAGCAAGTGCAGTTGACAGTTTTTCGTCTCAGGGGTGTAGCTCGATCGTGGTACGATCGATTGATAGAGATGAGACCGACAGGTGCTGCCCCCTTGACTTGGGTGGAGTTCCGGAGGGAGTTCCTTGAGCAATTTATGTCTAGCAGCAGGGTGGCAGATTTGACCTCTGAGTTTGAGAGATTGGTGCAGAGGCCGGGGATGTCCGTGGCAGAGTACGAGGAGCAGTTTACTCGTCTATCTCGGTATGCTACCTTTCACGTTGCTGATGACAGAGCACGAGCTACGAGGTTTATTAGAGGGTTGTCTGATTCACTATTCAGCTCCATGGGATCCCATATAGGGATGATTAGTTATGCTCGTGCGGTTGAGTGTGCACTTGCCCTGGAGGGGAGGGCGGTAGCCGGACATATTCGCGAGGATTCAGCTAAGAGGGCTAGGACGGAGGGGTCTTTTGGCGGTAGCAGTTCTCGGAGAGGATCATCATCTCGAGGACATCGACGACATGGGCATAGGGGTTCTTCCAACCGGCAGTCTTCAGCCAGTACCGCTGCATCAGGTGGTCGTAGTTCAGCACGCAGTCCATCTGTTACTTGTTATAGTTGTGGCCAACAGGGCCATGTGAGCAGAGACTGCCCGCGCTCACAGGATACTGCCCGAGGTACCGGAGCTTGTTTCAGATGTGGCTAGCAGAGCCATATGGCTGGGGACTGCCATTCCCCACGGGACGCCCAGACGTCAGGGACTTGTTTTCGTTGCGGACGATCATGACATTTGTTCAGGGATTGTCCTATTTCTTCTGAGGCCGTGTTGGCTGCGGGAGTCGTACAGCCAGCTCAGGGTCATTCTGGGGCGGAGTCATCGGGTTCCCGAGGTCGTGGGACCGGGGGCAGGGGCAGAGGTCGAGGCCGAGGACAGGCACGGGTATATGCATTGACACGTCAGGACGCTCAAGCGTCTAACGCGGTGATCACTGGTATGATTTTTGTGTGCTCTTTGGATGCATACGTGTGGTTTGACTCGGGATCCACGTATTCTTATGTGTCTGAGAGTTTTTCGACACGGCTTGGTAGGCAGCCAGACCTTCTAGAGAGTTCGTTTTCTGTAGCGACCCTGATTGGGGAGTCCGTTCTGGTGACGCGAGTTTTCAAGGCTTGCCCGATTAGTATAGCCGGCAGAGAGTCTGTAGTGAGTTTGATTCTCCTCACTATGTTGGAGTTTGACGTGATCCTCGGTATGGATTGGTTGGCGTCGTGTTATGCCATGTTAGACTGTCACTACAAGATAGTGCGCTTTGAGGCACCGGGTGAGTCACCGTGCATTTACTAGGGGGATTACTTTTTGACTCCAGCTCCTGTTATCTCGTACTTAAGAGTTCAACGATTGCTTCGACAGGGATGTCAGGGGTTTTTGGCGACA